CTGATGAGTCAAGCCCTTCCAATATATTATCGCAGTAAGAACAGTATAAGTTTGATTTATTTGTGAAAAGAAACATTCGCATCTTAATGTTTGCATTTGTTTTATATAGATGGCGTGTTATTGCTTTGTGTTAATATATATATTTGAATAACGTTTAGCACATAAAGTATATTTAGGTGAAAACATCAGGCTTCCAGGGAAAATTAAGAAATAGGCATCTCCTTATCGTGCAACTGAAAGTTGCTGATGGCTTGCGCCATCTATCGGAATGAATATCAACTATTCTCATTGATTTCTAATTATTCCAGAATTGGCCAAATACCCATTCTTGATTAATCAAGAAAAAGTTAACCACGTACCGGTTTCGGGCTGTTGGCCCTCATCAGCGTGGTGTAAGCTGTACCTCAACGACCAAAAAACTGGTCCTTCATGATTAATAAAGAATGGGTAATTTGTTAATTCTGGAATAATTAGAAATCAACGAGAATAGTTGATATTTATTCCGATAGATGGCGCAAGCCATCATCAACTTTCAGTTGCACGATAAGGAGATGCCTTTTTAATAATTTATGAACCTTATCCCAGTACAATATTACATTTGTACTATTTTTCCAGGGAAAAGTTTATTTTTCAAATTAATTATTTCACAAATATATATCTAGCTTTCTTTCACTAAAAGCCTTATACAGAATAAAACGGATGAAAAATAAAGTATGTTTTGAACGTTTCTCTATATATGCAACGCGATCTACGTATTCTTCGTAGATCACGAAATACGTGGTGTCGCTGGAGACCTGCTGGCAATTCTCCACCAAACTCTGCAGCGCTGGCAGAGGCGCCATATTCATTGTACATAGTGTATATAATCCATATTATCTTTTTTTTTTAAATAGTACAGACTGTGCACTTTGTATGTATTGACAAGATGTCAATAAAATTATTTTATTTGTCTATTAGTGCATATATGCAACGTTGTGCCACCTACAAAATTCGATAGATAGAAAAATATATCTAATTCTATATCAGGAAATACGGTTTGAAAAATGCATAAAAAGTTGGAGAGATAAATTTTCAGCCGTTTAAGCAGAGAGGTATGAATGCTAATTGAAATAAAATGAATATTTTATTGATTAGGAGTCCGTATCGATATTCTAGGGAAGGAAAGCTTTACTTCCTTGAAGATATATCGATTCTTTCTTTCTTTTTATCTTAGAAGTTATTGATAACTTTCTTTAAAATCCTACCCGTTGGATATCACACGATCTATATACGATGGCCGTCTTTTTTGCTTTTCTCTAGTACACATGGTACAGGCCATGATAATCATCGCGGGTAATTACGACTGATTTTACTGTAAGTACATCAAATTTCTACACAATCTATATACGATGGCCGTCTTTTTTGCTTTTCTCTAGTACACATGGTACAGGCCATGATAATCATCGCGGGTAATTACGACTGATTTTACTGTAAGTACATCAAATTTCTACACAATCTATATACGATGGCCGTCTTTTTTGCTTTTCTCTAGTACACATGGTACAGGCCATGATAATCATGGTGGGTAGTAGTTGGCGACTGCTTTTACTGTAAGTTCACCAGATGACTACACGATCTATATACGGTAGGCGTCTTTTTTTGCTTTTCCCTATTACACGTGGTACAGGCCATGATAATCATGGTGGGTAGTTAGCGACTGCCTTTACTGTAAGTGCACCACATGTCTACACAATCTATATACGGTGGGGTTTTTTTTTTTTTTTGCTTATCCCTAGTACACATGGTACAGGTCATGATAATCATGGTGGGTAATTAGCGACTGCCTTTACTGTAAGTGCACCACATGTCTGCACGATCTATATACGGTGGGCGTATTTTTTGCTTATCCCTAGTACACGTGGTACAGGCCATGATAATCAATTGGTGACTGATTTTACTGTAAGCGCACCGCATGTCTACACATGTGAAAATCAGTTCAACTTTGTACTTACAAATGTGCCAGAGCCCCGTTTGTTTACTTGCACTCGCTGGTGGGGTTGGACTTTTGTAAGAATCTGAAATATATATCTGAATCAATATTTTAGCATGGTCCCTAGTCAAAAATTTTAATATAAATGGGATTAAATCCTAGAGAGAGAGAGAGGGTTGTGATGATGCTGTGAGTTGATTAAATCGGCTAATGAGCCAGCGTTCAATTAATTCTAATCCTGCTAATTGAAGTAAGCTCTTTATTTTAGAAGTAGGACATGTCAGTACGTCCTCTGTAGTGTCGACATATTGGGTTTAACACAAATATCGGAGGGAAATATTGTATAAAACTTGTAGACACAATGTGGGATAGATAAATATAATATAAAACTTATATACTAACTTTGTATTCATTATAAAATTGTGAAAAAAGTTTTAAAATTACAAAACATTTTCTTACAATGAGTTTCTTTTTATTACAAAACGCTAGCTTTCAAGTGATAATCGCTCTTCAACGGGCTTAATAAAACATCGACTATATCTTACAAGAAATATTTACAAAACATACGGCGTGGATATTTACAACTGAAATTTTAAATTGGTTTGTAATTTAACAACAATTCATTGTGAGAAAATATTTTGTAATTTTAAAATATACTAACTTATAAACTTACAAACTAATCTTTTTTTTTTCTTCTTATCTCTAGTACAAGTGGTACAGATAATCATGGTGGGTAGAAATTGGTGACTGGTTTTTACTGTAAGTGCACCACATGTCTACATATATGAAAAGCAGTTCGACTTTGCACTTACAAATGTGTCAGAGCCCTGTTTGGTTACTTGTACTCGTTGGTGGGGTTGGACTCTTGCAAGAATCGGGGGCCATTGGAGAATTTTTTTAAATTGGAAAAAAAGTGTCTAATGCGGGAATCGAACCCGGGTCGTAGCGGTCGTAAACCAAGAAATTAATTTAAAAGTTCCAAACTTGGATGACGTTTCAGTCTATATTTCACTAAATAGCTCTATGTTGAATGAGTAGGTTAAATATGGCAGAAGATAGGAGAGGGAACTCCCATATGCAAATATAATCGACATACAACAACCACTTGGTTGAGTTCCCAATTTGATGAAATCCAAAATGGCGGGCTGAAGTCCTATCTACGTCTGGCGTCCTACTTGAGAGAGAAACCGAGAGATTTGTGTTGAAAGTTCCTTGTTTCCCAACGTCAAATAAAATGTATAAATTCAACACATTGTAACAACACAGGTGGCAAAATAATTACTCAAAACTATTGGTTATAATTAATCAAATTGTCAATTAAGTTTTCCAAAGAATGGATTCATTAATCAACACACAAGAGTTGATTTAATTAAATCTATAATTTTCGAAAACTCTTTGTCGATCAGAGAGAAAAGCGATTTTTTTTTTTTCAAAGATTTTGATCAAAAGCGAAAATATTTTATAAAAGTGGGAAATTTGTGTAAAGAAATAACCTTCCCTCCCTTCCATACAAAACACATTTTTCTTTAAATAATTTATTAAACAATTTCATGGGCCCCTAAGTGGAAGATTTTCATCACAGATTTTTTTAATAAAAAAGTTTTATTTTTAGAAGTCGTTTAATTTTTGGTAGACCTCAATTATCTTTCTTATTTCCGGATCATTTGCTTTTCTTTTATCATGTGAGCTTGAATTTTCGTTATAATGCGTCAATTCTTTGACTAATATCATTTTTATAGCTACGTTCTTTTTTAATATGGGACAGTTCTCCTTGGGACAGGACTTCTTAACATCAAGGAGTGAGAAGAAGAGAAAAAAATATGAAAAATTTCAGCCTAGATATAGTTAATGGACAGAATTGAGAAAATTACTCGATATACTTCTATAAAAAATATCTAAAAAACCTTATGCAAATAAATTAAGAAAAAGGCATCTCCTTATCGTGCAACTTAAAGTTGCTGATGGTTTGCGCCATCTATCGGAATAAATATCAACTATTGAAAATAACTACTATATGACAACTAAATTTGAATTTTATTTTTAATATCTACACCTGACCCACTTTTTTTTTCTATTGTTTTTTTCAGTTATTAATATGTTTCAACTATTTATACAACTATATGAATGGTTGATATTTATTCCGATAGATGGCGCAAGCCATCAGAAACTTTCAATTTCACGATAAGGAGATGCCTTTTTTCTTAATTTATGAACCTCATACCAGTACAATGTCACATTTGTACTATTTTTTCACATTCTTACGCTATAAGTTACTTTATTATACAAATACAGCGAGATTTCGAGCACTTGATCTTTAACAGGCGAAGTTCAACTGAGAGAGAGCACAGGGAGGAGAGATATATACTAAATGATGACTGTTTAATATTGCCACGTGGAAAATTAGGGAAGATAAAAATAATTCAGGATGGTGCAACAATTTATTTAAGGCAAGGACAAACTAAGAATGATAAACAAAAGATATGCAATGTGGGAAGATTACAGAGTAGCAAAAATATAAACATAAAAAAAATAATACTCTGTTTTTAAAATAAAAAATACTTCGCTATAATATTGATTTGGAGTATGATAGAATATTGTTCTGGGATGTCTCTCATATGTAGATACTGTTCTTACGTTTAGATATGAGGGATTCGAGAATTAATCTTTCTTAATTGGACGGTATATTACAGTAATGTATATCGACATTTAAAATTATTCCGCATGTGTTTATTTGGAACGAAAAATCAAAATTTATTTTAAGGAGAAATAACGATTATTTATAACTTTAGGGATGAAGTATGAAAGGATGAATTGTGAAGAGTAATGATAAATGGAAAAAAAATAAAAGTGTCCAGGGATAGGAATCGAACCCACAGTGTTCCGCTTACCGGGCAGATGCCATGTCCACTATGCACATTTTTGAACGAAAAATCAAAATTTATTTTAAGGAGAAATAACGATTATTTCTAACCTTAGGGAGGAAGTATGAAAGGATGAATTGTGAAGAGTAATGATAAACGTAAAAATAAAAGTGTCCAGGGATGGGAATCGAACCCACAGTGTTCCGCTTACTGGGCAGATGCCATGTCCACTAGGCATTATATTGTATTAGTAATGTATATTATAATAGCTTATGGAGATATGTAAATGATGCGCCGCTCTGTATAAGCGTCAAAAAGAGTTTAAATTTATGAGATTATATAATGTGCTATATTTAATTTAGTAAAACTTGTTTTCCAAGAATTAACTTAAATATCTTGTAGGCACAATACAAACAACGTTTAAATTAATTTGAAAAACAGTAAAAAAGTGAATTAGTACTTGGATCAGGTAGATAAATTAAGAAAAAAAAGGCATTTCCTGATCGTGCATCTGAAAGATGCTGATGGCGTGCGCCATCTATCGGAAAAAATATCAACTAATCGTTGATTTTTTTAATTATTCCAGAATTGGCCAAATACCGTTTCTTGATTAATCAAGAAAAGCTAACCACGTACGCGTTTCGGGCTGTTGGCCCTCGTCAGCGCGGTGCAAGCTATACAGTTGGCGCAAGCCATCAGCAACTTTCAGTTGCACCATCAGGAAATGCCTTTTTTCTTAATTTAAATTAATGTTTTTTTTTTAAGTTCCTTTCTATATAAACTATAAAAACCGTCTAGTTATAATTATCTCTCTATAGATAATTGAAAAACTGAAACAAATAAAAAATTTATAGTCCTTTCTAAAATAAATATAAATACATAATCTAATTTTGGTTTATTTTCCCGCCAAATTTATTCCAGGCAGATGATAATGTTAAACATACGTTTGGTTAATAATTATCTTTCCCGCTCTCGGCGCACGGCCATATATTCATTTCGTTTAATTTAAAATTCCAAATTAAATTTGCCTAACCATTAGTCTAATGTTTATCTTGGGATAATTTTAAAATATCTCTCTCTTTCAAAGACAATATTTCGATCAACTAGGCGGTTATACGTAGTTCTATTCTACTTTTTGTAGATGTTTTGCTAATGTATGACGTGGGATTCACTGAGATACGATCAGAAAGATGTATTATTATTTTAGATGATTTATGCAGTACTAAGGGATCGGTGGAAGGATTGTCTAAACCGTTGTTTTTCGACCGCTACGACCCGGGTTCGATTCCCGCATTGGACACTTCTTTTCCAATAAAAAAAATGCTCCAATTACCCCCGATTCTTGTAAAATTTGAACCTCATCAGCAAGTGCAAGTAACCAAACGGAGCTCTAGCACATTTGTAAGTGCAAAGTCGAACTGCTTTTCATATGTGTAGACAATGTAGTGCACTTACAGTAAAAGCAGTCACCTACTTCTACCCACCATGATTATCATGGCCTGTACCACGTGTACTAGAAATGAGCAAAAAAGGCGCAGTACTAAGATTGTGTACCTTCTCAAGCAGACTCATCCAAGATGATTGTTAAATAGCAATAGTCTGGTAGTAAGACTTCTTGGTTTCTCTCTTCAGTTGGGGTTCCCACAAATATAGTATGAGGATGTCCTCTTGATCCCTTTAATGTGTTTTGTATTCAATATGTTTAGTATGGCTTATAATGTCATATTGTGGCTCATACTCTATCATCACTAGTAAATGTAATACTATGTAACTAACTGTAAAACTATGTAATATTCGGAATAAACTCTGAGAGAATAATTACAAAAACTATAACAGGACTCAGAACAAAACACTATAAAGGAATGACAATACATCCAGATGGCACAAGAACCTACAGGACATGCAACAAATGTTCTCATGTCCAGCAATGGCCGCAGTCTTGCAGAAAAATGACCCAGAACTTTACACACCCAAGATAGAGAACATTGCTGTGATAGAGATGTACGTAGACATCTGAGGCTCTTCATTGGACACGACAACAACAGCTAGTAAAGTGTTGAGTTGTCTTGTTGCTTTAAATACCTTTTTCTATTGTTGATTTGGCTTGGTAATTGAAGGATAGTTGTTCAAGTATTATAGAGTTGTTTGGTGGCTCAGCGTGACATGACATTCTAACACCAAAATAATACATATACCTATCAAAAAATATTCCTAAGGGATTATATGCAAAGAGAGAATTTTTTTATCGTCTCGAAAAAAATACATATATAAATGCGCTTACGCTCTAAAAAGAAATATAATATGATATATTGTTATTATTTCAAAATGATATTTTATTTATTTCATGACAAATATATATTTGGGAAATGGAATATGTAAATATAAAATATATGCAAAATAGTTTTATATAACATTCAGTTTGGCATTATATATTGCCATAATTGAAAAAGGAGATTCGGGGAATGTAAAAAAAGTGGAAATGCTATAAAGAAAATATATATTTGTAATATCACAATTTCTTGGATAAAATAACATGTTAAGCACATATCTGTTTTCACAGAACGTTGGCGTGAATTTAATCTAGTTTGTTCTTTATTTTTTCTGCACTTTGACAAATTTGTGAATCTTTTATTTAATGTTAGTTTAATACATAGGGTATAAATGAATGTATGTTTGTGTATTTACTTTCTGTTTTTTTATATCTAAGAATTGTGTTATCAATCTAACGTTCAGCTTTTTTGTCGTCTTTCCACTTTTAACGGGGAGAAGCAATTTATCAAGATTTACGAGAGATGTTCCCATCTGTCTTTCTCTGAACTTTGGAAGTAGTGGGGACGTATGGAATTTAGAAATTCTCTGATGTGGCCTGTATTGGGATAGTTTTATCTGAGTTATGCAAATATGAATTTATGTCTTCTTGAGGAAACATTAACAATAGCATCGTAGAATATCATTTCGGGACACCTGCGAGTGTGCGTACATATTTTCCTGTATCTGCCTTGTATCTTTGTGTAGGTCTGCGTTGTATGTCTGTGTGTGTTTGCGTTTTATGTTTCGTATGTCTGTGTTGTATATTTGCGTAAGTCTGCGTGTATGTTTGCGTGTGTGAGTGTATGTTTGCGTGTGTCTGCGTGCATCTACGTGCATATTTGTGTATGTGTTCGTGTATGTTTGCGTGTGTCTGCGTGTATCTGCATATATATTTGTGTATGTGTTCGTGTATGTTTGCGTGTGTCTGAGTTTATGTTTTCGTATTGAAACGAACATGGGTATGTGTGCTTAAATGTGCGGTACGTAGTTTAATCTCACAGTTACGCTATATACAGGGCACAATTCGCTTTTAAAATAACACGATATTTGAAAGGGTGTCGGATATAAACCGTAAACAATAATTCTCTCTTTTTATATACTTAGAAACTTTTCTGAAGTAAGTAATAGAGAGGTCTGTTTACCAACTTTAATAATAACATATTACGACACAAGAACAACTAACACGGCCTTGAATATCCCAGAAATAGAAACTATTAAATCTTGTTTTTTTGTGAGATCGTTGCTGATTGACAATAAAAATATTGTACGCAAGAATTTAAAAGAAGAGTCAGTGGATGAGAGGGTAACACGCTCGATTCCCGACAATAAGTCGGTGGACAAGAGGGTAACACCCTCGATTCCCGACAGTAATGAACCGGGATTGAATCCCGCGTTAAAATTTTGTTTAATATGTGAATAACCTTCACCTATATTATTCACTGTTTCAATTATCATGAACTAGGTTGCTCTTGCTGAGCGGTACCTATTAATGTGATTTGAACCAGAAGAATTTAAAAGACTGGCAACAGTCGGATATCATCTCTCCTTAGACAATTTATAATTTAAAAGCCTTTCAATAAATTAACGGTTAATAAAAACATACACATATGACCCTACCCCCGTCACTCCTTCATCTTAAACCAAGCAATAGCCCATTACAGCAATATTAAAAAATAATGATAATAATAATAATCTTGAAAGCCTTTACCACACAAAAACTTAATGGTATAAACAGAAAGATAGGTTTCCATGATCAATACAAAACATAGGTCTTAAACAATAATACCGTTTGTATATAAAAAATCGTGTAGAAATATAAATATATTAATTTATTATTTTCTATTTCAACTTAATGTGTTTATTTTAGCTCATTGTAGATAGCTATTTTTTACATACTGTAGCGTAGAAATTAAGTCTTGGAATATGTAATGGAATTTATTGATGACGTCACAGCGAATAGTCGACAATTATCAACAAAACTATCTACAGCTAGGGAATCTTAAGCAAGCAAAGAAATATTTTTATGATGATTTTACAAATACAGAGTAATATATATTTTTATAATCTGTTGAATATTTTCATTGAATAATATTATATAATAAATTATTTCTTCGCCACAATACAATTTTTATGTGAAAAAAATAGTACAAATGTGATATTGTACTGGAATAAGGTTCATAAATTGAGAAAAGTAAAAAAAAGGCATCTCCTTATAGTGCAACTGAAAGTTACTGATGGCTTGCGCCATCTATCGGAATAAATATCTACTATTCTCGTTGATTTCTAATTTTTCCAGAATTGGCCAAATACCCATTCTTGATTAATCAAGAAAAGCTAACCACGTACGCGTTCCGGGCTGTTGGCCCTCGTCAGCGTGGTGCAAGCTGTTTTTTTTTTTCTTGTTTTTCTTAATAATATTTTTAAGTTTTAAAAGCATGTCTTACTTTGTTTGGATATGGGCAAATATTATATATCTCTCATATATAAAACGACACTTGAAGTTACACCGCATGAGTTTCTTTTCAATGAAAAATCAAAATTTATTTCAAGGTGAAATATTGACTATTTCTAACCTTTTTGGATGAGGTATAAAAGGGGTGAATTATGAAGAGTGATGATGAACGGAAAAATAAAAGTGTCCAGGGATGGGAATCGAACCCACAATGTTCCGCTTACCGGGCAGATACCATGTCCACGTTAACGTTAACGTTCATTAGAGTCACACTTGTAAGATTGTAAGTTTGAAAGATCGTGTTTTATCGTTGTAATAAAAAGATTTTCTCAGTCTTTCTTGAACTTTCCGCTATAAATTTAGATAATATTGCCACGTGGAAAATTAGGGAAGACAAAAAAAACTTCAGGATGAGACAGCAATTTATTTCATGCAATAACAAACTATGAAGGATATACAAAAGATAAGCATAAGA